CAAGGGGCTCTCCCTAGAAAAGGCATTGATAACATTCAACCTTTTTTTCCGAGTCATCATATAATATAGAAATGGCTCTTAGTAACTCATTATCAGATCATGTTTCAAATGTATAAAATATCATCATATATAAAATGAATAAGCATACTTAAGAAAATTACTGTATTTTATTCACAGACTACAACCAAAAATTAATTCTGCCCTTTGATAAATCGTGTAATTTTTGCCACTGATCTACTTTGTTTAATTTTTCTAATTAGAAAAAAAAGGGTATCCTTTTGTAATAATCATTATAGTAAATAAAATGCTGAACAAGTCTTTAACAAAAAGAAAACATCAATTATAGCATGAAAATCAACAAAACAAATAAAGTTTCAAATTCAGTGAAACCCTAAAAGTATCACTAATGACAAAACCCTAAAAGTATCACTAACGACAGAACCCTGAAAGTATCACTAATGATAAAACCCTACAAGCATCACTAACGACAAAACCCTAAAAGTATCACTAATGACAAAACCCTAAAAGTATCACTAATGATAAAACCCTAAAAGTATCACAAATGATAAAACCCTAAAAGTATCACTAATGATAAAACCCTAAAAGTATCACAAATAATAAAACCCTAAAAGTATCACTAATGATAAAACCCTAAAAGTATCACAAATGATAAAACCCTAAAAGTATCACTAATGATAAAACCCTAAAAGCATCACTAATGATAAAACCCTAAAAGTATCACTACTAATGATACCAAATAAATAAAGCCTAAAAATACAAGAATATTGTAGAAACAACATTAATTAAGCAGATCACACCTGTGTTTGAAATAGTCATACCTGAACCACTTCAACTTTACATAGAAATTGTTACATATTCATTTTTGCCATCACACCTATTTCTTTATACAGATATTTCTATCTACAGTATATAGATAGATAATGAGGGTATTTCTTTATACCCTCATTATCAAGGATTAATAATAAAATAGGAATGTATTCCAAAGCCCTTCCATTCGCCTGTCTATACATAATTTCTAAGTACTCCTGTCACTTCCCAGTCACAAATATGCTGTACAAAGTAGATTTGGACACTCACCAATGGTGTAGATAAAAGTCAATATTACCTTGCATTTCTTCATGGGGACATCTTGAGTGCAGCAGGCAAAGCAAAATGTTTGCAAGGTGCCATAATACAAGAAAGAAATCCAAAACTGGCATAAAACACACAAAAACATCACCAATTTGCACAAAACTAAAGTTTTGAATCAAATTTTGTCCCCTGTGGGTACTGATTGTTTTAGAATACTTAAGAGCCCACTACATTTCTATTATTAAAGGTATAAATATTTATACGAAGCATTACAGTATTATCACTATACACTTGTTAATTTTTTTTTACAAATTACTTGGATATTCTATAAATTCAGCATGCATAAAATATAATTTGGTTTTAAGTTATGGAAATGTCATGACACGACAATGGCAAAGGATAAAAAAAAAAAAAAAACTTATGTACTATAAAGTTACTTAAAGAACTGAAATACACCAAGTCATTAGCACCCCTGCGTGCTTTGTCTAGGTATATACAGTAATATAAACAGAACTTACATCTCGGCAACCAATACAGTTGCTCTCCTGGAATCAAGTCTTCTTATTCATCTTGACCTCCAGACCAGGTCACCTGCATCCCCAACTGCGGGTCTTCCCGAGGGAATGTCTTTTAGGGAATTAAGATCAATTATCCTTTCTCTCATCCTGGGATTCTGAAAACTGAAGTTGTTGTTAATGAAGGTATCCGCCCGAATGCTATCCCTCGTAACCTCATCCATACCCAAGGGAGAGCGGCTGATGGGACGACTTGGATTTTTCCATTTGTTCAAATCAAATTTTAATTCACCTAAAATAATTTTTCTTTTAAAACTATCCTTGGAAGTAAAGCTTTTGTTTCCAGTGAAATAATTTATAGCATAAACACCTTCCACCACCCTCCTAGTTTTAATATTATTACTTTTATAAATTATTTCACAATTACAGTACAGTATTAAAATGAATATTGTGATCCCTTTCCCAGTTATGATTTACTACAGCACTATTACCAGCCATAATTGTATGTGTTTGTGTTCTTCAATTCCAACCTCAAGCAGTCTCGCCCATTTTTTTTTTTTTTAATACACACACTGTACATGAGTTGTTATTGTTTTGTACCTCTGTTCAAGAGAGAACTGGATAAGCACCTCCAAAGGATACCTGATCAACCAGGCTGTGACTCATACGTCAGGCTGCGAGCAGCCGCGTCCAACAGCCTGGTTGATCAGTCCAGCAACCAGGAGGCCTGGTCGACGACCGGGCCGCAGGGACGCTAAGCCCCGGAAGTACCTCAAGGTAACCTCAAGGTAAGGTAGCACACACACAACATTTTGGGCAGCTCCTTAATCCTAATTTTGCCCAGAATAAGAACCGCCAAATCATTTAACAACCAGGTACCCATTCACAGCTAGGTGAACAGACACTAGTTAAGGATTGGCACCCAGTCAATCCACCCCGGCCAGGATACGAACCCAGACCAAAGCTCTCACGAAGCTGGGCAAGTGTTTTACCACTGTGCCACAGAGACTGCCAATATAGACTTCATTACAACCTCTACAGAGAAATATATAAATGCCTCCCAGATTTCTATTGTCACCCACTAATTTTACCAATCCTTTCGATAATTGTATTGGAGTACAGAAACTCCAAACAATTTTATGCCTCAAATAAATTGCATTAATGTGTAAGTTTAAGAGAGTTATAAGGTATTTTCAACATTTTCCTCTTCTGAGAATTTCAGAAACTTCTTTCAATTGTAGTGTACAGGATGCCTTCAGCTTTGTTATCTGCTTTATCAATAAACCAAGAGGGATAACTTAAATCCAGAAAACTCCTATGTAAGTATTTAAGTAGGCTTCTAGTTAAGATGGGTCACAAATTCTATAAGCTCTTAGATAAAGGTTGGGGAGTACTTTCTCCTTAAATGAATTGGAATGACATGAAAATGAATATACGAGTTCATGTTTGTATTTTTCCTGAATGCACCTTAGGAAAAATTTATCGTTACAATCCAATCCTTCTAATTACAATGCAATCCAAAAATGGGAGTTCTTTATTAATTTCTTTTTCTATAGCAAACTCTAAGCTATGGAGATCCTTTAAGTAACAATCTAGATACTCGAACTTCATCAAATAAAGCAGAAAACATCAACAACATACCTGAACTAAGCCTTGGGATCTTTTCCATCAATTGTTACTGTGGGTATTAATTGTGTTTCAAAAAATTCCATATATAAATTTACAAGAATGAGAGAAAGAAAGAAAGAATCCACAGCCAATCTTGAGGTTATCTCGAGATGATTTCGGGGCTTTAGTGTCCCCCGCGGCCCGGTCCTCGACCAGGCCTCCACCCCCAGGAAGCAGCCCGTGACAGCTGACTAACACCCAGGTACCTATTTTACTGCTAGGTAACAGGGGCATAGGGTGAAAGAAACTCTGCCCATTGTTTCTCGCCGGCGCCCGGGATTGAACCCGGGACCACAGGATCACAAGTCCAGCGTGCTGTCCGCTCGGCCGACCAGCTCCCCGGTCGGAGAGCGGGACCCAGCCCAGGATTTTTGGACAAATTTTGTTGGCTAGACAGCTCCTTAAAAATCAGATCTTGTTCTTACAGGCATGTGCTTGATAAGGACATCTCTCATACGGCCTAACTTGTTGGATGATATCCTGTCCATGTGTTCTTGTTAACTTCCTGAGAGTATGAGTACTGTATTTGGAAGCAAATAAAAGCTTCACTTCAGAGGACAGTTTTACAAAGAAAATGATTTGGAGTGAATTAAAATTAGATTTGAACATATGAAAAATCAAAGTAGTCTCATTAGGCACTCTTCCTTGGGCAAGGACGGGGTTACAAGGGATAGCATCCAGATGGATACCTTCATTGACCACAACTTTAGTTCTCAGAATTGCAGGATGACAGAAAAGATAAATGATCTTAATTTCATAGAAGACATTCCCTAGAGAACACTGGCAGTTGGGGATGGAGGTGCCTTGGTCACGAGGTCAAGACAAATAAGAGGACTTAATCCAAGATAGCAACTGTATTGGTCATTGATATACAAGTCCTGTTCACATTACATACTTACTCAGACCTTGATAAAGCACTCAGGAAAGTGCAAAAGACTTGGAGTATTTAAATTTTTTACATAAACTACTTAGAAACATAACTGTTGGTTTTTATCCTTTATCAAATTTGGTATCAATTATTTACCACGTTGAATAAAGCTTTATTATATTGAGATCTGACTACACACGTCACACCAATTCTAACTTAGTTTTAATAAGTTATCGGCATACAAAGTAACTGCATAAACAGATGCATTTATATTCCTTGATGACAAAATTGCCTGAATGTCCTCTCCAGAAACAAATGACCATACATCATGCCGAGCATTATGTAAACCTCCTTCTCAAACTCCGCATTTACTCTACTGAAAACAAATTCCAATGACAGTAGCACTTACTTAACTTTAACAAGTTAATAATTATTGGAAAATTCTCAGATACTAAAAATTAGCACATTACTGGATGACTGAAAGATGCAGATACTAAATGTGATGAAGAATATGATTAAACTTGGCCAATGAAGCAATGGAAGAGGTTGAAGAATTTATATATTTGGGGGTAAGTATTGTATAGGCCTGAAACAATGGAGGGAAAAATATAGGCAAGAATAGTGCAAGAATGGTTATCTGATCCTGGGGAGCACTGAGACAGGAAGAAAACTCTTACTATGGATGTGAAGATCCTTGTATACTCCTCCCACACCCCAACTGCTCAGAGAACAAGGTAGACACATTTAAAACTATGGTTGCTGAAATTTGCTATTTTAGGAAAACATGAGCTATTGCTAAATAAGAGGATTTGCAGAGGAAGAGGAGTAGTTACAAGGAGAGATATTTAAAGCCTTACCGCCCAATCTTGGTGTGAAGGGAGGACTGTGAAACACCACTTGCACGGTAGCTCTGGGGATGACGTGTGATATCCCTTAATATGCCGCCTTCTGAAGCCCCATGAAGTGTATGCCTTTTCACAGAATGGGCACGGATATGGCAGGTTTTGGCCTAAAATGAATGTTATCCATTAAATACATGGTGTGTTTACCAAAGTAAGAAAGTAAATGAGTTATAAATATTTTGTAACTCTGTAACTTTGTAAAATACAGTATATAAAAAAAGTGGGAATAGTAGGTTAAGCAAGTTTCCAAATAAATCCCTCAAATGTCACTTATTCTCTTCTCCATGGCTACAGGTTGTCACATATCCAACTAGAGGTGGCAACCTCTCAATCTATTACCAATATGGACTTGAATGGCATATGGCAATTTACATTATAGTCATTCTTTATCTCATTAGTTCATAATCATGCCAACAATGAATCGGCTCAAATATGCCACATGTGCACAGGATCACAAATGTTATACATATTTTGATTCTGGCACAAATATAACAAATATGTTATAATCTCCTTACAAGATGGGTCTTGAGGAAATTCTGGTTGAAGGTTGACAGCAGATGTTCTCTCGTGGGAGTTACGTCGTGGTAAGATGTTGTGACTGGGCTTCTCACTAGACGTGTGCTGAGGTAGGAAGATTGTGGGTAGATTCACAGAGGATGTTGAGCCTCCCACATTTCTTACAACCTCTGGTTGTTGTTCCATGAAGCTGACCTCTGGTGGCGGTGGTGGAGGCTGGTCATTCTCATCGTCTGGATCTACTCCTTCTGGATATTCATCTGGCTCCATCTTTACTTCTAGTAAGTTCTAATAAAAAAAAATATATTTCAAAAATAAAAAAAGGAATGAAATAGAAAATGAAAACATTTTTACAAATCAATAGATTAAAATGAGAGTCTAGGGGCAGGCACTGCTCATAAGTCTATTCACTCTATGATGTCTATATTATCCATATTGTGTCTTTTTTTTCCATAAAAATGGAATGAAGCAGAGACGCCCCCTCATCTCAGTGGCTTCTCTGTATACGTGCTACCACACACTTCCATATACAGTATATGTGCTACCCTATACTTCCCTATATACATACTTAAAAGAAAGCACTCTCAGTTTCCCACCACTGACTCAATGTTGCATATTGCAGAGCTGCTGTATGTGCACAGGAGTTGGGAACCTAAACCATGTACTCATAGTGCACAGCGTGTGCACAACAGCTATCTTCCTTAGTGTTGTACTTAGACCTAGCTTGTGTGGTCTCTAATGAGAGTTTATGTTTCAAGCAACATAATTATGCCATGAGGGATGTTTTAAGTTTATTTACGATGGAGATGGACTGTTTTAGCAACTACTAGTGTGAAAAGTATGTCGTCGTCGTTCCAATATTTTTGCGGTTCATGTATGGTGGACGCGGTTCATGTATGGTGGACGCAGTTCAAGTATTGAAGACGCGGTTCATGTTGTGGTTGTCGATATATATGTTTGAGATATATGGATGGATTCACGTATGCCTGATGCATTGAAAGGCGACAGCGTTGATATTTTTGGGTGCATTAACCGACATGTACAAAGCCTAGCCCAGACGGCAAGGTGACTGATGCACCATGGATTGCTGAAGTAGCAGCCTAGCAGAGACACTTAGAATAGTACTGATTTTATGGAAGTGTGATACACTACTATTTTGTAGAACCATTACCTGATAATATTATATTTTTATTTTCTTATCGTTTGTAATAAATGTGTGTGTGTTAGGCAATTGTATTTGCTCTTGTCCTTGTGAGGGTTTTTAAGAGAGAGAGAGAATTAATTGCAGGCCGGATGACAGTATAAAGATAACAAAGGGGAGCCAGGAGGTCACCCTCAGACAAGGAGAGAGGGAAAGTCATTGTTGCTCACGCAGGGTGTGAACACATGATGATGGACTAGCTCTGAGCCGAATCCCCACAAGCTGTGAATCCCTTATTCACACCTTAGAGCATTATAGAGCATGGGGGGAGCCGGTCGGCCGAGCGGACCGCACGCTGGACTTGTGATCCTGTGGTCCTGGGTTCGATCCCAGGCACCGGTGAGAAACAATGGGCAGAGTTTCTTTCACCCTATGCCCCTGTTACCTAGCAGTAAAATAGGTACCTGGGTGTTAGTCAGCTGTCACGGGCTGCTTCCTGGGGGTGGAGGCCTGGTCAAGGACCGGGCCGCGAGGACACTAAAAAGCCCCGAAATCTTCTCAAGATAACCTCAAGAAGATTATCAGTGAGCAATTATTGTTTTATCTATAAAAAGATTAGAGTTTTAAAAATCTCAAACAAGAAAACTAATTTCACTGCACAAAATCGAACAGAGATATTTTTGTTTTTATTTAGAATTGGATCGTGTAGAATACTGTAAAGATGTGTACACTCAGACTATGAATAATGAAGCTGCATGGAAAAGGCATCTGCCTACATTAAAGAATTATAGAGAAAAATTTTTACTTACACGAATATCTCTTTTAATGTCTGCATGTTCATCTAAACTATTGTCTTCTTCATTATGTAAAGGTGAATTTCTTTCATGGGCTGGGGATAATCTTCTCCGCTTAGAAGATGGTGGTGGCGATTCATGAGCCCGTGATCTCGTCTGTGGTGCCTGTGTCTGAAAGTGAAGACACGACACATCAAAACTCAGACCTAAAATTTTATCATTCCATAATGAAGCAACAGGGAGAGAGAACCACTTACAAACTACATAGCCCATCAGATAAGAGGTAGATTTTTGTTTTGTTCATTTATACTTCAAAAGAAAAGTAGCACTGTGCAAAATTTTAAAAAATAATTTAGTTTGGAAAATATTACTGATTATTCTGACTTGACAAAAGGACAGTTTTGTTATTATTATTACTATCAACAACAGTCAACCTGAGCATACTCAAGTATAGACTGTTATTGTGCAATGTTACTTACAAAGAACCTTATTATCTGTGTAGTGTAAAGAACCTTATTATCTTAGAAAAAAATATTATAAATGATTTTTAGAGTGGTCTGGTACAAATAATTTTACATGCTGAAAAGTGAAAAAAAATAAAGAAACTGGATATATAATACAAGATGCAATATTTCTTCAAGCTCTGTAGCTATTAATGCACTGAGTGCATTGAATATATTGCCTGCATAAATTTATATAATTTATATCTAATGCTCCTCAATTTATTTTTGAGGCAAAATATTTGAGAATCCAAATTTTATGCCATTTGTTCCTTGTAATTCATAGGCTAAGCAAATTATTATAATTTCATCCTGAAACAATAAAATATATATACAAGATGCCTGTACATTTACGAATTAAAAGCAATTGATCGATCAATCAATTAAGCATTGTACATCATTTAATGATTTTCTTGAACAAAATACGGAAATTTAACCTGACAATTTACATCAACCCATTAATCATTTTGTTACGACTACAACTGTCATTTGCTCAAAAACACAAGAACGTCTTCATGATGACTGTAGCCGTCATTTTCAAATATCACGTCGGCTGACTAACTCTCCTTTTTGTTATTTTATTTTGCTTCATTTTTTAAAATACCATCATAAAATATAAGTCTTTAGCTTAAAAACATATCAAAGTCAACATTTTACTATGCATATTACCTTAGCAGTATGCACTGGAAGTAAAATATCGCTAAGCTAATCTGTGCTTGGCCCAAGAAGCTGGAAGTGCCCAAAATTGGTAGGGGCAAAAACATGAGAGGGTTAATATGTTTTCTACCAGTAAAAATGGTACGAAGAATTGCTTTCAACTCACTGTACACTGGGAGACAACAGGAATGGTTATTGCACTGCTCACTGCTGCGGCCACTGCTGCTGCAGCTGCTGCCGCCACAACTGGATTGGAGCCATTTCCTACTTCTGTAGTCGGCACTAAATTTTGATATACTTCCTAGAGAAAACAAAATGGGTTTTGAGTATAGTAAAATGCTCCTTTCAATATTGGTCATTTAAATGCTTCCAGAGCCAGAGTCAAGAGCCATTATGGTTTGCCTAAAACTCCTATTCCCCACTAGGCTCTAATTGGCCTTGTCTCCCACCATTACAAGTATCTTTGCAAATGGTTTTATGGAGGAAATTATGGAAAGGAGAGGGAGGCGAGTCTATTTCAGGTCACCACAGAAGCACCACCTCTTTAGCAGACAAAAGGGTAATATCTTCAATACCTCTTGCAAGTGATAATTAGTAACACAAGGAATGTCAATTATTGCCCAGCTATCTGTTTATTACTACATCTGCTGCCAATGGAAAAAACTAAAGAAAATGACAGGTTAGATAACAGGAACCTTTCAAACAAGGGATGCCATTCCAATGACTACACTTTTCAAGAAATTAGTCCTCTCTAGAGTGGAATATTATTGCACAAAAGCCCTATTCAAAGCTGGAGAAATTGTTGACCTGGAGAGTGTGCAAATATCTTTTACTGCTAATTCCACTCCATAAATCATCTAAATTGTTGGTACCGATTAACATTTTAAAATCTGTATTCTCTAGTATGCAGGCGAGAGATACACACAATAATTTACATCTAGAAAGTATTAAGTGGGACCGTTTCCAAATCTGCAAATGGAAATAACATCACGTGAGACCAGGAGGCATGGCAGTTAGTGCAAACTAGCCCCACTGAAAAGCAGAGGTGAAATAGGTACACAGAAGGTACCTAGGTGAAATAGGTATCAACATCAAGAAGTCGAGACTTTTCAGCACACTCCCTCTACACATAAGGAGACATAACTAGCAGGCCAAGTTGTACCCCTTATGTGTTATGAATCACAGCCTGGCTGATCAATCAGGCTGTGATTCATACGTCAGGCTGTAGGGAACAAATTCTTTAGAAATGCATCCACCAAAGGGAAAGCCCAAGACTAAGGGAAGGTCAGAAAATCTAGAACATCCAAGGACTAAGAATGTTTATAAGGAATATGGAAAGGAACATATGTGAGGAACAAGGTAAACCACCATCTTCCTCCCAGTTAATTAAGATTATTAGAGCCTAAAAAAACTAGCAGTGAATGTAATAACATGCCAATTTCTGGGCGAGCCCAGTGGTTTTCTAAAGGTACTATACACACTGAGATGGTACCATCTACTAGGTCGCATCAGCCATGGAGTACTATAGGCCTAACAGGGGACCAAAGTCAGAACCTGGCCCCCATCACAAAGGCACAGGGAATGGCGACATATGTTTGCTACTTCACCAGGGAAGGCAACCATAAAGTCAGCAAGTCAAAAGAAGCCACTGCTGGCTTTAATAGAGACTGAAGCCTTGAAACCTGCTGAAAGCACTCCAACTATGTAAACAAACAACCGATTTCTCTTGGAAGTAATATGAGCTCATTTGCCCCACCTCCCCCACTCATTGATAGAATGGGTAGATACCTCACCCCCAGCCGGCACCTCCACCCTCAGTTTTAGGGGAAGGTAGATCAGGGAGCCATCGGGGCTCAACTACAAACTGCAGTTTCATTACATTCAACACTGGTTTTCTGGGGATAGCGGAGGGGGGGAAGGGAGAAACCTTGTGGCTCACTGAAGCTAATTACCCATGGAAGAGTAAAACATACAGGAACACACCAGGGAGGGGGAAGCACTGCAGGATTTATGAAGAGTAAACACCCGGCTGAGAGACATGACCCAAAGCCACACGAGAACTGGGAACATTAACAAGATACCAGGCCGCCAGAACCCTGTTCAACCTCCAAAAGTGCTCAAATAATAGGGGATCTATATATGATCAGCTGGGCTACTTCTCCTCTCCTTTTACTATTCATAATACAAAAACACAATAAAGTTAGTTTTGAGAAGCTTTAAAAAACTTAAAGTGAGGGTTTGAAAATTTGTATGTACCAATTTTTGGCACTACTACATGCAGTGATATATGATTCAGCCACCATTCAGGAAAGCAAAAGCAACTTTCTTCTGAACAGGAAAAAATAGTTCCTGCAGAGGTTGGTGAATTGTAAGAGTTACAGAGCACTAGAGTGAGGGTGTAGACAGGCTGGATGCCTGGGTGACCTGGTGGCAGGCAGGTAAAGTGGTGCACAGAATGTTTGCACGCTACTATTGTTTGCCCCGTGTTCTTACCTTTTATGTTCCATCAACATTATTGGTTTGTTTTGGTTTGCCAATACATTACAGTATAGGCATTTGTTTTTAATTTTAGTTTGATCTCTGATTCCCAAGGCTCCATTCATCTCAATGAAGGAATCTTGACTAATTGTGGTGTTTAGAAGGCTTAGCAGTGTTTGTATGTATCCACAGAACAAGAGCCTTAATCACTGGAGAGCTAATAAGAAGCCAGCCCAGAAAATGACATTCAACAAAAATATTAGGCTTACAAACCTTTTCCATCCGTGCTCTGGTATTCTGTGTATCTGTCAGACCACGCACTTGAAGCGCCTCAGCCAGCTTCATGAATGTGTGAAGCCGTGTTTGGGATACATTGACCTGACCTTCATACATAAATGCCAATACTGCTTCCAAGTCTTCTATGGGCACTTCTCGGAGAATTATCACCGGGTGTTGACATGGATTATTCTATAAAAAAGCAAGACATTAGCAAATATACAGAGTATTCTGATAAGATTACAGAAATATGAAAGTTAATTATACTGCAGTACTATAGGAATTAAACCACTCACAATTTAATTATCCAAGAGATCACTTGTGATATTCAAATGTATACATCCAAGATGGATTCTCCTAAATGGAGAGACTTAAATTAACTATTTTACAATATTATAGCTACTCATTAGAAGTTAATCTAAAAATCACTATATATAAACAGTTTCAAGTTATATTTAAGTAAATATGACATTTATATTCTAGTCCATCTCCTTTTGCTTTGTCACAGGTGAATTCAGAGCTATTTGCACCACAGCTAAGTACTGGGCAGTTGGGTTTCTGTATCACAACACCTACAATTAATCTACTAAAAACATGAAATATTTATTGACAAGTACTGTACAATATATCAACAAAATCATAACATTGTATTACATTAATAATATGGAACACAAAAAGAACGATAAAGAACAAAATAACTAAATATGATCAGCAAATAAAATATTATCATATTCCGAGTCCTAAGCCAACAAACAAGTCAACACTTTGGCAAACCTTTAATATATCTCTGAAGTAGGGACTACAAGCTGAAAGAATCAGCTTGTGCGCTTTTAACTGCATTCCATCAGCAGCAAGTGTGACATCAACAAAATCCCCGCCCTCGTGTAGTGTGTGAAGTGCTGCGGTCATGGTGGTGCCAAAATTGTTCCACCGCAGGCAGAACTGCATATCGCTGCCCCCCATAATGTGTTTCTAGATTTACCGATCTGAAAAGGTAATTATCCATAATGATGTAAACCATTTACTTATTAATGCTGAACATGAGTGACTTGAGGAGTACTATCCATTTATCTGGTAAATATCCATTCTTTGGTAAAATACTGCAACCTGTCTGCCATATTCAGATAGGTGATGTTGCATAGTAGACAGTGGTAAGAAATTAGTAGTCTTACACACAGCTCACGAACCCCAAAGAAAACACAACACTCCCCAAGTACCAATTTTTCTGCCAAGTGAACAGAAGCATTGTTGTGAATAGATGTACTCAAACATTTCGTTCTACCTACTCCAGGACCAATTAATTCGGAGCAGGCTGTTTTAACATATATATTTATTAAAAGTATTTACAACTCGTGTAGAGAATGCAGCTTGATCCTTCAACATTGTTGCATTTTAGAAGTGGTCATCAAAATCTGTGTGATAAGAACAAATATTTATATAACTGCTTCCCATGTCTGGATAAATATCTTATTCCACACACTGACCATGTCAACAAGAATTCTTATATGTAAACTGACCATGTTAAATTATTAGCCTTGCTCACTTTTACATTTAGAAAATTATAAATTATTAAATTCACTCCATTTTATTATTTATTTTGAGTTAATACAAATTTGTTGTGTTGTGTCAAAATTGAGTTGATAACGAGTGTTTGAAAACTTTGCCTAAAATTAACTATTCATAAAAAAAGTCTCCCTGATTAATAATGATATTAAAAATTATATATAACCTCTTCTGATTAATTTAAAGTAAAAATAATTGGTATTCAAGTAGCAACTCTACACAAATTTGACATAGATGCAAATATTTATGTACCAAAGTTACCCCCACTATCATATCAACAACTATACAATTCTGCCACTAAACATACAAAAAAGTCCCGAGATTTATTATTCGGCCCTTGTCGAGTGGAAGTCCCATAGCTATGAGCCACCATCACTACTAATGAGGTGTCCTGGACGCGGTCAGTAACTCCAGCTAACCAGAGGCGCGGCAGACGATGCACACGCACCTGTCAGGTCCACGTGTAGCAGCTCCTGTAGGAGGCGCGGGTAGGCGTGGAGGGAGGCGTGTAGCTGGCGTGGCAAATGAGGAGAGGGAGGGTTGGCCCGCACTTTGTTTACAGACCTTGACGTGACCCTCCTCCCATCCTTCCACGACACGCCCTTCCCCCGCCCACGCCCACACCCCGCCCACCACCCACGCTCCCATGATTCACAGTAACCCTCAGCTGCAACCCTCTTGCCTTACCTGTACATAAAACTCTCAAAAATTGCTAGATTCACTGTCCAGTCACTAACGAAGATGTGTTTACAAAAAACTCTGAAATTACGTTCGAATGGCTGGACGCGACTTAGAGACAAAGTGTGTTCCAGCTGCAAATTATCCATTTAAAGGATTTGCTTAAAAATCTAGTCAGAAGATGATAATAAGTTTTGTATTCCTATTCATCAATCATAGTTATTACGGTAATTAAGCATGTGAGCTTCGAGGATATTGTCTAGGTTCGTGAAATAGCGATGAGACGAAGTCAACATTGAGCAGTTGAGGATGCGTCCAACAGATGGCAGAAGACTCAGCCAGAAGCCGTGAGCATCACCTTGCGGCACTGAATGATAATATTGCCCTCAAAATAGTAATTAGATCATCATCGTCGCTACTTTTTGCTGCATTATTCAATGATTTTATCTGTACATTAAAACAATTCAATGTAGGGGCTTAATTACGAGAGGTTTATGAGTTGGATGGTAGTGTGGGGCCACCAGTAGTGGACAATGGTGTTGTATTATGCAGACAAGTTTGGCTTGGTGCTGGGCTTAAGGGCAATCAACCTCTAAAGGGCTATTAACGCCGCCACAATAGCCTACTGACTAACTATCAACTATACATTACTACTGAATATAGTTTAGGAATTAATTAGTAAACTAAGTGATAGTCACGGGCAAATTTATCACCCTGTTTTTATTATTAACGAACTCAGACACACAGCAGTGCGCTGCTACTCTATTATATATGAGAGATTACAGAGTATAGGTCAAGAGTTAAATCAATTGTGTTTAGTTCATTTATTATTCACCCAATGCCCAACGTGTGAGTGGTAATGTGAAAAGGTTACAGAGTCACATGTGGGTTCACGAACTGAACCCCAAAATCGTTTAATTTACCTGAGGGCATCTCTTTAGTGGCCTCGCCGAGGGCAGGAAGCTGGCGGTTTGTCGAAGGTCAGGGCAAATGGGGGAACCTTAGACAAGCCAACGGCTTCCTATCCTCGTCGAGACCACTAGAGTTTATGGTCCTCAGGTAAATTTATCCTGATTAATTACGTTATTTTTTTTAGCGAAATTCAGGGTGATTGCACATATTTGGAGTTTTAAGTTCCGTCTTTTTATACGGGAAATATGCAAGTAAGTGAAAAAAGAGATTTATCATATTTTGCTAAAATTGACGTGCGGTTTGAAAAATAGGATGCCTATTGGAAATATGTCTCTTGGCCGTTATTTTTTTAGCGTAATTCGTAGTGATTGCACATATTTGGAATTTTAACTGACGTCTTTTTATACAGGAAATATGCAAATAAGTGAGTTTAGTTTAGTTCATTTATTATGCACCCCCCTACCCCATACTGTAGGCGGTAGTGGAAAGGGTTACACAGGCACATAATGGGCTCAGGGACTGAGCCCCACAATTCATTTAGCTAAGCAAGTTACAGTCTTGATGAGCTAGTTACAAAATTTAATATAAGTCGTCACATCAACAATGGGTTCGAGATCAACCACAAGTACAGTTTCTAAATTAAGCAACTGACATATGTGGAGAGCTATTGTTGTCCCCTACCTCCCCTTGCCACTTCGGGGGGGTATAGGGTTTTTATGTAGCTTCAGGGCACCAATCCCCCCAGCCACTGGGCATGGCGAGAAGGCACCCCTAAGCATACCTAATTCCCTATTAACACAAACTAAAATATTAAAAGATGGTGGCTGGTCATCTCAACCCACAAGAGTTAAGATGATAATAATAACATGTAAAAATGGAAAATTATTTTGTTGTTGTTGTTTTAGATTTAGCTACTCAGAACGAAATGTCTATGTAGCACAGGCTGTGGTGAGCCCGTAAGTTGAATTATTTTGTTGTTGCTATACATTCAGCTACTTGGAACAAAATGTTCCAAGTAGCACTGGGTTTGGTGAGCCAGTAGTGGAGTTACCTGACACAGGAGCTGTGCTGTGTCGATCAAGATTATTTTGTATTTCGTTTCTCTTATATGGGACACAGCACACAAAGGGAGAGGTGCACAGTATATCATTTAAAAAAAGCTAAAGCTGAGGGCAAAATATATATACGACGGGAGACATCTCCTGTCACGCAGGGTGTGGCCACGTCTGTGGTAGAAAATAATAATAAAAAAAAAGTGCAGTCGCACCTCCACAGATCTCCAGAATACAGATTTGGTAATGGCTCAAAAGGGCCACCACTTACGGGCTATTCATGCCCGTGCCACCTTTTGGGTGGCTTAATCTTCATCAATCAATCAATCAATCAATCAAGGGCAAAATAACAAGCTGCCTAAGCGGCAGGATTGGTGATTTGACAGCAGCATACATGGAAAACAATTCAAAGCTGAAGCTCCTAGCAAGGCCCCGGAGTGGGAGGGTTGTCATGTATATGCATAAGGGTCCCTCCGGCCGCCGCCATACCCACTCATGGGCTCCTGCCAAGTCATCCACCCTCTTGTGAGACACCATTTGGAGAAGTGGTACTCCAGAAGACGACTCTGCTTAGATAGTTGGCTGCCAGCTATCCTGGCTGCGGTTCACCTAGACAAGACTATATTGACCCTTATGCACCCTGTGCACGGTGATCCCGGGACTAAGGTGGTCCGCCCCTTGATGTGGTCTTGGACCATATTCTGTAGATGGAATATGTCCAAGTCAGGGCTTTCACAGAGCAAATCTCAAGGTCACTCTTGGTGAGTTCCATATCCTGTAGACCACGTGCACTCTCCTTGCACCATCCTCCTCTCCAATTAAAGGTTATTGAAGAGGCGGATGCTGTGTGCTTCCCGGTATATTCCCTCACCTTTTGAAGGATCTCTGGGGTGCCGTACTGGTCGCACTTGCTCTGATGTGGACGGGAGAGTGGGAAATTATCAGCAGAAACCTGGGTGTCTAGTATGAAGGCCTCGTCATCTTTGCAAGCGATGATGTTAGGCTTGCAGAAGGTCCCTCCATCCGGTATACGAACGCGGACACGTCCAGTGGCAGCGGCTCTCCCTACCACCGGATCCTTTGATTCTACCAACGCTCCGAGCCGCTTGTTCTTATGTAGGCGGATTGATGTAGCAAAGTCAGGAATTCCTAGTCCACCGTCTTTTACGTCGTTGATACATTTCCTCGCGGTCTCCGTGCAGGATTTGTAGTTATGTTCCTTCGCACATAAGCTGCATTTGTCAGTGAGCTGCTGACACTTCTGGGTGAGGTGGTCATATTGGTAACATTGGCGCAGCTGGAAGTAGCGTTCTCTCTGTACAAGGTCTGGTGTGATAGAGATGCCTATATAGGTATCTGAATCAATTTTCTACGACGAGGGTAGTAGAGTGAAGACGGGGGAGACATCTCCCATCACGTAGGGTGCAGTCGCACCTCCACAGATCTCCAGTATCAGCTCTTGATACTGGTAATGGCTCAAAAGGGCCACCACTTACGGGCTATTCATGCCCGTGCCACCTTTTGGGTGGCTTAATCTTCATCAATCAGACGAGGGAAGCAGTAGCAGCCGTGGAGAGAGTAACCATCAAGAGCGGATTGTCGGTCCTCTTCGTTTCGGATTAGAGTTGCCGAGATTACAGTCATGGCAGCGTTTTCTTAATGCTCTTGATGATTTCGTCCTCCTGGGACGGGATGTACGAGCTCAGTATCCTAGCGAAGATGGTACGGTAGGCTGTGAATTGTCGCGGTGGGGTAAGGTCGAGGCCTTCTTCACTTAGGGCTCTTAGGTGCTAAGGGGTAATTAGCTTCGCGAGGGCTTCTGTTGCTAGTGAAGAGGAGCACGGCTCCCTCTCCATCAGCTCTGATGTACACAAGGGCAACTGCTGCGGTCTTAGATAACTAATGTAGTGTATCTGCTGTGGCGGGAGCGGTTGAGTATCTCGAAACCGCGCCTTGACCTTGTAGATCATGGTGTCAGATAGTCTTACAATCCACCGCCCCCCCTTAATGAGAGTGGTAATGGCAGGAAAGAGTAAGGAGACTGACAGCCACTCCCTCAACGAGGGTCGTAGTGGCCGAGATGTTAGACCTCCTTAGTACTGTACTGGCTGGAGAGTGTTATGATCGACAGTGCTCATCACTGAAGAAGGCCCTCCGTCTCTTCCGGGTTATGCCCAGGATGGGAGTGGGGCTGGCTTCCTAGAGCAATGCGACCCGCCTACCGTTATATTGTTAAATTAAAGAATGCTGCTACTTCGTCCGTCCGTCTTGCTCGCTCGACGATGAATGACTTTCCTCCATTACTGTACTTAATGTATATATATTCCCATTTCCTTGCTAAATTTTCCTCGGACGCCTATAGGTGGTGATACTACTCATTACTGCCACCACGAATTGACATGCTTAAAAGTAATTAAAACTAGAGACCCCTGTGGGGAGTATGTCTTTGCCTGTTTCAGAGTCGAGGGTGGCGAGGCTGTCCTGACTTTTTTTTTTTTGTTTGCAGGATTTGAGGATTTTTTTGCGCTCTATTACTCCCTCATCTATCCATATCTCAATTATGGTATTTGTGCTTGGGGTTCTACTACACAAAATCATTACGTCCTCTAATTACTCAACACAAAGCTATTAGAACAATATCTAACTCTGGCCCCCAGACAGCACTCGGTACCCTTACTCAAATCTCTGAATATGTTAAATATTAAGTCACTGCACATCCTCTCATGTGTACTCTATATATTCTCTGAAAACTGCAATGTCAATCTAGACCTTAAAAGATTCCTAGAAAGTTGTAACAGAGCCCATGGGCATTACACCAGAAACAAATACCTATTTGATATTCCAAAAGTGCGACTTAACCAAACTAGAAATGCTCTACAATTCAAGGGACCCGGAATGTGGAATGACCTCCCCAATCATTTCAAAGGCTGTACCTCTCTCAACCAGTTTAAGAGTAGAACTAAGTACTACCTAATTAACTTCATGTAACTTACCTTACCCCCTAAATGTCAACCCATGTCTTGCTATTCTAAACAATGCTGTTTGTTGACCAGCTTGTACTATTGCTGATTTCTGCCGTGTTCCCCTTTTTTCTTTTTTTTTTATTCTTTTTTTTCAAAAGAATTTATACTTTACTGCCAATTATTATTAAGTTTTAGTCTAAGTGTTTTTCCCCCACACCTTGCCCGAAACGCCGTGCGTATTAGTGGCGTTAGGTATTGTATGTACTAGCTCTATCTATAAATCCAACAGTATGTTTGTAACTCTGCATCTATGTATGCACTTTTCCTAAATAAAATGTTTATTGTTTATTGCTGTTTTTTTTATTTAAAAATGGCGGTCTGTGGAGAAGTGGTGGGCGGCCAATGAGAGAGCGAGGGGCTGGGAACTGGGACCAATCAGGGAGGAGAAGGTGAGGCGCGGCCAGCCAATGACAGGGCAGAGACTGGGAAGAGCGTCCTGGCTCTGGCTGCCATATTGAATGTGGACTCTGCGCTGACGGCAACAGAAATAATTAGACATGTTATTGCGCTTATATTGAGCGTTTATTGTGAGAGGTGAATAAGGGTTCATTACTAGCGACAAGCTCCGTCAAAATGGGAGAGGACAGGGAGAAGGAAAAGCCTGAGAAAGGTAAGAATGGAGTGACGGTGGGTGAGATGGGCTAAGTGGGCTACAGCCACATATTCTCCCCCTGATGTATTTTCTCCCCTAAATGGCACTAAATATTGAGTATTTTTCATAGATCTTCGTCTGTATTTTTTGTCGTTGTATACCAGTGTGGTACAAGTGCATGTCTAGCACTATGGACGGAGGCAGCCATGATAAAACAATAGTGCTTTATTAGACGTGGTGTGGGGGCCGGAGTCCGCCCCCACCACTGTTGGTGGGTGGTGTGGGGGCCGGAGTCCGCCCCCACCACTGTTGGTGGGTGGTGTGGGGGCCGGAGTCCGCCCCCACCACTGTTGGTTGGTGGTGTGGGGGCCGGAGTCCGCCCCCACCACTGTTGGTTGGTGGTGTGGGGGCCGGAGTCCGCCCCCACCACTGTTGGTTGGTGGTGTGGGGGCCGGAGTCCGCCCCCACCACTGTTGGTGGGTGGTGTGGGGGCCGGAGTCCGCCCCCACCACTGTTGGTTGGTGGTGTGGGGGCCGGAGTCCACCCCCACCACTGTTGGTTGGTGGTGTGGGGGCCGGAGTCCGCCCCCACCACTGTTGGTTGGTGGTGTGGGGGCCGGAGTCCGCCCCCACCACTGTTGGTTGGTGGTGTGGGGGCCGGAGTCCGCCCCCACCACTGTTGGTTGGTGGTGTGGGGGCCGGAGTCCGCCCCCACCACTGTTGGTGGGTGGTGTGGGGGCCGGAGTCCACCCCCACCACTGTTGGTTGGTGGTGTGGGGGCCGGAGTCCGCCCCCACCACTGTTGGTGGGTGGTGTGGGGGCCGGAGTCCACCCCCACCACTGTTGGTTGGTGGTGTGGGGGCCGGAATCCGCCCCCACCACTGTTGGTTGGTGGTGTGGGGGCCGGAGTCTGCCCCCACCACTGTTGGTTGGTGGTGTGGGGGCCGGAGTCCGCCCCCCACCACTGTTGGTTGGTGGTGTGGGGGCCGGAGTCCGCCCCCATCACTGTTGGTTGGTGGTGTGGGGGCCGGAGTCCGCCCCCACCACTGTTGGTTGGTGGTGTGGGGGCCGGAGTCCGCCCCCACCACTGTTGGTTGGTGGTGTGGGGGCCGGAGTCCGCCCCCACCACTGTTGGTTGGTGGTGTGGGGCCCGGAGTCCGCCCCCACCACTGTTGGTTGGTGGTGTGGGGGCCGGAGTCCGCCCCCACCACTGTTGGTTGGTGGTGTGGGGGCCGGAGTCTGCCCCCACCACTGTTGGTGGGTGGTGTGGGGGCCGGAGTCCGCCCCCACCACTGTTGGTTGGTGGTGTGGGGGCCGGAGTCCACCCCCACCACTGTTGGTTGGTGGTGTGGGGGCCGGAGTCCGCCCCCACCACTGTTGGTTGGTGGTGTGGGGGCCGGAGTCCGCCCCCACCACTGTTGGTTGGTGGTGTGGGGGCCGGAGTCCACCCCCACCACTGTTGGTTGGTGGTGTGGGGACCTTAGTCCGCCCCCATCACTGTTGGTTGGTGGTGTGGGGGCCAGAGCCCGCCCATTGCTGGTTGGTGGTGTGGGTGCCAAAGCCTGTCCCCATGACCGCTAGTTAACAGTGCGGGTGCCAGATCTTGGCTCCATTACCGATAGGTAACGGATTGGGGGCTAGACCATGGCCCCATCACTATTAGTAATGGTGCAGGAGTCGAAACCTGGTCTCATCGTCACCTTTGGCCATCATCCTCCTCCCAAACTGTACGTTTCCATGCTCCAGGTGGTGGTGGCCACACTCTTCACTGCCTGACTCGCATGTTGACAGGCTATGTTAGCCCATTCTTTGCGCTAACCGCCAAACCATTCATATTTTTTCAGCCTGAAAATCTGTATTTGACAAATTTGCTATGCCAATTGATTATAAAGTTATAATATTTAGCAAGGTATTTTTTCATGTCTAAATGAGCTTAATTTAAAGCCAGAAGGAAAAGTAAATTATCCTACACTTAATTTGAAATTGATTTATATTTTATTGTATATAATGTATGGTTAGTCAATAATCACCCATAGAGTTTTTGAAGCATGTCTTTAGGGCACCAAAAGCCTTAAATTAGCTCTCCCTGTTAACTTGTTTTATAATGCATTTCAGACTAATCACAGGAATGGTCATTAATGTTCATGTGTGATATTGAACAGGATCATGGAAAATTAGTTTGGCAAACTCTGCTCTATAGCATACTACATTGTTTAGCTTTTCACATTCATAAATCAGGAGTGTTTAATAAGTTTTGAATACAGTAATTGTAGTACTTTACATATTTTGAATTATAATTTTACATTTTTTTTTTTTAGGCTCTGAAGATGGAGGAAGAAATCAACTGAAACGTAAGCATTACTGGTTTTAAGTCCTTTGTGTTACCCCTCTAACACCTCCTCATGGCTTGGTTTTTTTTTTTGCTCTAGACGCTATTTAGCATCCCATCTTTGGACCCTTTCTAATTTATTAATGTATTACATGAGATATGGACACCATCACTAATGCATATTTCAGTTTTAGTCTCAGATATCGTAGTTTTTCTTTTTTATTATGTCTCCATGCTTATGCGTAAATGTAATTCAGAAATTTATCATCATCGCATAGGCTCCTCTAGCAACACTTGATGCAATCATCTGTTGACACCTGCTTGATGGGGTTCTGGGAGTTGACTCCCCAGGCCTGGCCTGAGGGCAGACTTGACAGCTTGGTCCATCAGGCTGTTGCTTGGAGCAGCCTGCAGGCCCACATTTCCACCACAGCCTGGTTGGTCCGGCACTTCTTGAAGACAGTTTACTATTCAGAACCACCCATAACTGTCAGTGTTTTATATCATCTAATTTATAGGTTGAGTGTGGCTTGTCTCGTATTCTGTATTCCATTGTGTAACATTTCTGTATAATTTCATCTGCCATGTGTTGCTCCATTTACTGTCTAATATTTTTGTAGGCCATGAAAGCCGCTAAATATTTTTACTCTCCCTAGTAACTTGGCATCATTTACAAATGTATTTAAAAAATTTGAATCAAGTTTTCTCAATAAAATTTTAGCTGGGTGTTTTGTTTTACCTTGTATAGTACAGGTAATGTATTTTTAAAGTTAGAACACAGGTTGTGGCGGACAGACCATGCATTGGAGATAGAGCCTTGTCACTAACCCAGAGCCATGACGAAAACTTGAGTTCATCTTTTCTCTGCTAATAATAGAATATAAGAACATAAGAACATAAGAACAAAGGTAACTGCAGAAGGCCTATTGGCCCATACGAGGCAGCTCCTATTCTATAACCACCCAATCCCACTCATATACTTGTCCAACCCGTGCTTGAAACAATCGAGGGACCCCACCTCCACAATGTTACGCGGCAATTGGTTCCACAAATCAACAACCCTGTTACTGAACCAGTATTTACCCAAGTCTTTCCTAAATCTAAACTTATCCAATTTATATCCATTGTTTCATGTTCTGTCCTGTGTTGATACTTTTAATACCCTATTAATATCCCCCCGGTTATGTCCATTCATCCACTTGTAAACCTCTATCATGTCACCCCTAACTCTTCGCCTTTCCAGTGAATGCAACTTAAGCTTTGTTAATCTTTCTTCATATGAAAGATTTCTAATTTGGGGAATTAACTTAGTCATCCTACGCTGGACACGTTCAAGTGAATTTATATCCATTCTATAATATGGCGACCAAAACTGAACTGCATAATCTAAATGGGGCCTAACTAGAGCAAGATATAGCTTGAGAACCACACCAGGTGTCTTGTTACTAACGCTGCGATTAATAAATCCAAGTGTCCGATTTGCCTTATTACGAACATTTATGCATTGATCCTTTTGTTTTAAATTCTTACTAATCATAACTCCCAGATCCCTTTCGCAATCCGACTTCGCAATCACAACACCATCTAGCTCGTATCTTGTAACTCTATCATCATTACCTAACCTCAGAACTTTACATTTATCAGCATTAAACTGCATCTGCCAATCCTTTGACCATTTCAAAACCCTATCTAGATCAACTTGAAGTGATAGTGAGTCCTCCTCCGAATTAATTTCCCTACCGATTTTCGTATCATCGGCAAATTTGCAAATGTTGCTACTCAAACCTGAATCTAAATCATTTATATATATTATAAACAACAGAGGTCCCAGGACAGAGCCTTGAGGCACTCCACTTACAACATTTTCCCACTCTGACTTGATTCCATTTATACTAACTCTGTTTCCTTTGGTATAGCCATGCCCTAATCCAGCTTAATATAGCACCCCCAATACCATGAGACTCTATTTTTTTAATCAGTCTTTCATGTGGCACTGTATCAAAAGCTTTGCTAAAGTCAAGGTATACAACATCGCAATCCTTACCACTATCAACTGCCTCAACAATGCTAGAATAAAAAGATAACAAATTTGTTAAACATGAACGGCCATTTATAAAACCATGTTGTGACTCAATTATTAATTTATGTTTTTCAAGATGAAGACGAATTTTATTTGCTATTATAGATTCGAGTAACTTTCCCACAATAGACGTTAGGCTAATTGGTCGATAGTTAGACGCAAGTGATCTATCTCCTTTCTTAAAAACTGGTATCACATTAGCAACTTTCCAAAACTCTGGCACTCTGCCTGACTCTATTGATTTATTAAATATGGTTGACAGTGGGTCACAAAGCTCCTCTTTGCATTCTTTAAGCACCCTAGCAAACACTTCATCCGGCCCTGGGCACTTAACACTTTCGCTCACCCCGCGCGCCACCCCTCGACAGGGCGATATGGGCCCCAGCGTGTCACAGAAGCGCGCGTTAATTCCGAAAAGTGTATACTCTCTTCAACTTTGTCACCTCAATTCTCCTTCTACGAGAATAAATTTGGTATCATTGTGTTCGCAATAAAATTCTCTACAGCACTAAATGCATATAAACTCCAAAAGCCCGGCTAATTACCCGCAGCAAACAGAGAAAGTGCGAACGAGTTACCCGGGAGCGCGCAAACGGGATAAAATGTTTTCACTATTTTCACTCTGGTCACCTCAATTTTTGTCCTAGGTCTTTCATTTTGGTCTCAATGGGTTCGTAATAAAATTCTCTAGAGGAACATTAGCATATAAAAAAAAACACCTGGTCACGCTCCAACCGCCGACGAGTTGAAGACGGGCCACGCGTTAGCCGTGAGTGAGCGCTCAGAGGCCTTCCTACTACACTCCCAATTCCCACCCTTTTCAAGCCTTTCTTTCGCAATTTTCTTCCTGGAAGGGCCTTGTTCATGATTACTATCCATCGTGGAGTAAGCGTAGATAGTTTCTAAAGCCGCAGTAAGAAATATAGCCACGGAAAATAGCCGAAATGTTCACACGTTTGAGATGCGAGGGGAGACGACATTGGTCACAACAGTGGAGCAAAGACAATGGGCCCACGGCGTGTGCCAAGCCGCCTGAGGGCCACGAGGCTCAACAAAGGAAATGGGAAGACATCGGCGCACATTTTAAAACCAGTCCCCAAAAAATCGGATACAAACCTGATTTTTGGCGAATTTTTAAAGTGGATGACGCAATGCTGCGTCATCCCCGGCATTACCGCCAGTAAACGGATGACGCAATGCTGCGTCATCCCCGAGCGAAAGTGTTAATGTGTTGCGTATCTGTGTGAAATAGTTTAAATCCGTATATTTGATATTCAGCTAATAGTTCTCTATTTTCTACATTCATCCACGTTTCGGTAAGTGCAATAATATCTATTTTTTCTGTGCAGACAAGAGCATTTAATTCGTTAATTTTATTTCTTAGACTTCTACTGTTAGTGTAATATACCCTAAGTGAATTGTTATTTTGCGGACCTCCTCTTTCCCTGATCGTTTTGCCAATTCCTTTCTCCCACAAACACATACTTTTATTACCTCCTTCCTCCAAATCAATTCCCATACCTCTATCTACTAACAGTTTAAACCCAAACAAACACCTCTAACCACTTCTTCTAGGGAGTTCGCAACAGCAACAACCCCAGCTCTCGATAGATGCACCCCATCACGAGCATACATTTCATTTCTTCCATAGAAGTGTTCCCAGTTGTCTATGAAAGATATTGCATTTGATTTGCAATATCTTTCCAGCCGGCAATTGACACCAAGTGCCCTCGATATCCATTCATTTCCCACTCCCTTTCTTGGAAGAATGCCACATATGATCGGGATTCCTCCCTTGCTCCTAACTAACTCTATGGCTGTTTTATACCTCTGAATCAGTTCCTCACTCCTGACTCGACCAACATCATTTCCTCCCACGCTAATGCAAATAATGGGATTGTTCCCATTACCAGCCATAATATCATTCATGTTGTTTATAATATCACCAATGCCAGCTCCGGGATAGCAAACCCTTAACCTGTTCCCCCTATCTTTAGCACAAAACGTTCTATCCAAATACCTTATCTGGGAATCTCCCACAACTAATGTTTGCTTAGGTAATGTTTTGCTTAGGTTAAATATATGTTTGCAGAGACTAATATGTAGCTATTGTTGGAAAAAAATGTTGTAATACTGTAATAAAATTGGTAAACTGACTTAATGTTTTATGAAGCTGAAGATTTTCAGGCATTCACTTCACATAACAGCTAGGCCTACCACTAATTTGAGTGCAAGTAATGCACTGCACTTTAATAAAACAAAAAATGTTGACAACTGTAATGCACTTGTACAATTGAAACTTGTTTCTGTATTTACACTGTGTACAGTATATCTTTTTGTCAAGGCTTTGGTGGTAAGAATAATTATTATAAAGGTTACATTAATTAAAATGGTTACAATAGTGGTAACTATAATTCTTTCTTCTCTTCTTCCTCTATCCCCCTCTTGTTCCTCTTACTCAGTCTACCCTTCATCCCATTTTCTATCTCTACTTTCCCATTCTTTATCCTACAACTCGCTCTTAATCCCATATATGCTGTTCCTTCTTTCTTTCTTGTTCTCCCATACTTTAAAATGGTTACAGATGTTGTATTGTTAGACATCTTGTTTGGGACTAGGAATATCCAGTATTAAAGTTACAATACTCAACTCTGAATGATTTGTGGATAATAGTTTGACAATTTTTCTAATAGTTTAACCTGTTCTGAAGATATAAATTGTCATAACTCGGTGTGATTATTGGTATTGATTGTTTGAGAATACTGTAATGTTGTTTAATAAAGAGGAAGGTTATTCTGTATTGTAGTTATAAAAATATATTTTTGTGTTTTTAGGTTCTGAAGATGGTGGGAGAAATCAGCTGAAACGTAAGCAATACAATTAATTTTTCTGTGCACTCTGTTAATACAAATGTGCACATGCACTAAAAGCATCTTCTCCCCCCCCCCCCCCCCTTCCACACACAAACACACACATGAATGAATACACAATCTCTCACAATAGCAGCTGCAGCATATGGTATACTGGCTGGCCAATGCTCGTGTATCCTTCAGAAACATGGACAAAGGTGGGATGGCATTTTTCTGAACCTCCCTATAATGACTAGAGGAAAAACCTGGGAGTGGACATACCACCAAACCAAACCCGAGAGGCTCGTGTAAATAAGATACTGTAAATGTCAACTGTACACGCTATACTAGCGGAAGTCAGAATATCCTTCAGGAACTTATAAAAGAGGCTTCTAGATGACTGTACGCTGCCTATGTGAGACCAGTTTTAGAGTATGCTACCCCAGCATGGAGCCTCCATCAACAAATTATGTGAAAAGGTTAGGAAAAAAAATTGATTGAGAGATTTACAGGTGGTCCTGAATAGAGAAACTATCCTCAGAGGATCACATAAAGAATATTATACAAGGAGCCTACACGACACTTTCCAATTCAGAAATATTAAAGATATTGTTCACAGCCTTTGAGACCAAAATTGGAAATATCAGCAGTTTTATGTTGCCCATATCTCGAGCAGCGCATCATTAAACTGGAAGACATGCAAAAACATGCAACTAAATGGCTTTGAGAACTGAAAAACAAGACCTATGAGGAGACCCCTAGAGGTGTTAAATATACCAAAACTAGAAGATAGAAGGAAAGGGGAATAACAGCATTTGTATATACAGTACTGTTGTGTATTGCAATTCATGAGGAACACTACACACAGTACACAGAGAAATTCCATTATCTTGATATATCAATGAGAAAATCCATAGGAGCCGTGATGAGGATTTGAACCTATGCGCCGGGTCTTCTCAGATGCACGCTCTAAATGACTACGCCACGACACGATCAGAGGTAGAATTACTGGACGACAGTGCTTGGGGTTAATGGTGTGGAAGCCTCGAGGGTGCAGGAGTACCCTAGGTTGCAATTCTTTTGCCCCATGTTGTGGCATAGTGATTTAGAGCCATGCATCTGGAAATTTCCAGTTCATAGGTTTGAATCCTCATCACGGCTCCTGTGGCTTTTCTCTACACACAGTGTTTAGAATCATTAGGGTGCTGCTGTGGATGACTTCTGGAGTATATTTTATATAGAATAAATAATGTAAGGATTTTTCTTAAGGTTATTTCCTATATCTTCAACATTTTGCTGCATTTTCCCTCCCTGTTTGCCACTGTCCCCTTCACCACCCCCCACCCTGGCCCCTTCACCACCCACACCCAGCAATGTAACTTGGGATGCCACTGGGTTCTTGCGGCACCTTCTGATCCCAAATAGAGGTTTTTCTCATAACCCGCATACACTTTGCCTGTGGTATACGAGTTCTACCCCCAATGCTGCTCTTCAAATGCATGAAGAAATCATATGATTTTGTTGATACATCATATTTGTATGATTTCTTTTTTACCATATATAGTCTTATTTGGCTCAGTGGAGGCTCAAATAGGAAGTGGCTCAAATAGCCTCGGCTATCACTTCCTTTTGACGGCCGTGATGGTCAAGCGGATTAAGGCGCCCTGTAGTTACCAGTTGCGTTGCTTCTGGGAGTATGGGTTCGAGTCACTTCTGGGGTGTGAGTTTTCATTCGCATATTGTCCTGGGGACCATTCAGGCTTGTTCGCATTTGTGTTCCTCACGTGTGCCCCAAAGAATGAGGTGATTTGGTGAAATGCTATGCCCAAGATTACCATCCGAGTTGCCGTCGGGGAAGTGGCTCAAATAGCCTCGGCTATCACTTCCTTTTGACGGCCGTGATGGTCAAGCGGATTAAGGCGCCCTGTAGTTACCAGTTGCGTTGCTTCTGGGAGTATGGGTTCGAGTCACTTCTGGGGTGTGAGTTTTCATTCGCATATTGTCCTGGGGACCATTCAGGCTTGTTCGCATAGTCTTATTTATTTTTCAACTTTTATGCATTGCATTAGTTTGCTTTATATTTATTTCAGAGCGAGATGAGAAGAAAGACAAGGATCGTGATAAAGACAAGGATCGAGATAAAGACAAAGATCGTGATAAAGATAAGGATAGGGACCGCAAAAAACGTAGCAGGTCTCGTTCACGTGAACGGCGTAAACACAAGTAAGTAGCTGTTTTATTCCCATGTGGTTGTGTTTATTTGCAGCCTTAAAGCCCGGGTAGCAAGTGGAACTTGATTGATAATGTTACACTGTAGGAATAAATCTTAATTTTTACATTGTTTTAATGTAATTTGTATTATGAACATACATGCCTCTCCATTCCCCACGTGCTCCCTTCCTTGACACCTGGCCGCCCCCTCCCCCCTTTACACCTTTACCCCTTAAGATGGGATTAATACTGTATGGCCCTGAAGGTCTCTTACAGGCACAGTTTAATCCTTAGGCTGCAGACATCATCAATTGTTGATTCACTGGGTAATATTGTTATCATATGAACATTTTAAACATTTATTGTCTGCTTTTTACATGTTTTCTACACTTAATGTGGAACCTCGGTACTCAAACTTGATCTGTTCCTGAACGCTGGTCGAGTACTGAACAACTTATTCCCATAAGGAATAATGTAGTGGATAATGTATTATCACCACCCTCCCTGCCCCCTTCACCACCCACCTCCCTGCCCCCTTCACTACCCACCTCCCTGCCCCTTCACCACCCACCTCAATAATAATGTATTCCATAATGGAATATACATTATTATCCATAATTATCCAGTAATAATGTATTCCATAATGGAATAAGTAATCTGTTTCAGACCAAGAATAAATATATTCAATTAATAAATGAAATAAATGCCAATGCTGTGTGCCCGTCACCTGCACTTTAATTAAGAGTTGATGGCATATGTGGAAGGTGGAGAGGTAGTGGAAGAGATGCTATTTATGGGCAGGGGAGTCTCCCCTGCCCAACATAATAACTTCTGGTAGTTGTGCATCTGGGCTACTTTCTCATTCTGGTCTTTTTCTCTTTCCTTCTTAAGACACTTTGCATTTCCCCCGATTTTCACACATTTCTTTTATTAGAGAACTAGATTTAGGCATACCAAACTCTGTAGCAATAACAGACACGCGGGCACCACTTTCACATTTTGCTATGAGTTTTTTTGTTTGTTTTCATATCGATTGTGATTCTGACCAATTTTCTTTTTGCTTGACTCTTATCACTAACTTAGGTGTCATGGTGACTTATTTACACCAAGAATATCAAAAATATCCAAGAAAACATGAGAAAGTTTAGAGAAGTCTAGTGGTGTTGTGCACTGAACGATAACTACTGGGAAAGTGACTCGTCTGGGACATGTATTTACGTTTGAGTGCTGAACAAACGGTCACCTACCGAACATGAATACAACGTTTGAGTGCCAAATTGTTCGAATTGGGAGCTGTTTGAGTACCAAGGTTCCTCTGTATGGATTTAATAGGTGTAATGTATGTAATGAAGTTTACCTTGACCCAAGGAAAATATCCTGCCACCATTTCATGCTACGAATGCGATTGTCATAATTGTTACTAGGGGAATGCGGTCATCGTCATATGACGAATTAAACAATTATCTGGATTTTTTGTTGTTTCAAGTCTGACTTGTAGTGTTACTTAGTCCCACTGACTATCATTTAAGTCTGGGTTGAGTGCTTTCCTGAATATTGACTTCAGGAGTTTGTTAGTTGGAGTAGGCAGCCAAAAGTGGATGTGGACCTTAAAAAAAAAAGTTAGCCTTGGTAAGGTAAGTCACATTGTAAAAAGATTCGGGACATCATGAGAGTCCATGTTCCCTATTCTCTCTTCCATCTGCTTTAGGCCATTGAAGTTTTCATTGAGGACTGCAACAATGGCATTGTGGCACAAAGGTGCTCCAAGTAGTGTGCTGTCAGTGGGTTCAACGACTGAGGCTTCTTGTAAAGCAGAATTCACTTCATTAATGACTACGTTGGATGAAATAATTTTGCCCCTGGAGGGGTTAAGGACGAGGCCCAAGGTCTTCCCTTGTGACTACAGCTGTAGGTCATCCAGGTGGGAGTCTTGTACTCGCCTAGTTGTACTCACCTAGTTGTGTGTGTGGCAAAGTGTCGTCCAGGAACCAGATGTTGAGCTCTGCTTGTTTTTTTTGCTTTTGCATAGTGGATCTATGCAGAAGTCAGAGTGAAAGGGGGTCTCCCTATTGAATTACTTTAATCAACCCAACAAATTATTGGGTTGAAGCATGCATGGTGGCTACTTCCATTTGAATACTTCTGATGGCTGCCTTTGCAATGAGTTGGCAAAGGGCAATGGATCTGATCTCTCCATCCTTCTCTTCCATGGTGCATATGGATGTAGCAAAGAAAATGGGTTAAATGTCAGGAATTAAACCAGCAGGGCAGTTAACAAACATGATTTCTGATAGGAGCAACTCTGCCAATCAGAAGATAAACCATTTTCTTTGTGTTGGTCTTACCCCAGTATAGCCTCTTGAGGCGTCCATAGGAAATAAGACAAGGGCTTTATAAGCCTCTGACATGGATAAAAAGTGATTCCTATTTTTGGAGGTGGTCCCTGACCTGCAAGGGAGGTTCCCCTTCTGCCCTAAGGGAGCTTTTCTCTCTGCTCAGGCTGTTTTATCTCTGGGTAAACATTTTTCCTTACTTGATTATTAATTTTTTATGTACTCATTCAGGTGTATATTTACTTGAATATACATTCAATTCCCAAACTAATTGTCCACTACCCTTAACCCTTAGACTGCACATATTACTGTGGATATAGGGGCATAATAACGAAAAATATTCAAATTATGTAAAAATAACTTAAAAATGTTAAACAAATCTCCAACTTATTGGCTTCGTTGTCGTGAAACCTTCATCAAAATATTTTCAGAAATTGATTTTAGACGAATTTTTGAAAAATAAGAACGTTTTATTGATAAGGAGAACAGCTCCTAATAACTGGAACTGAAGGATTGTGCAGTAATAAAGAGATGCAAGCACCTGTCCGATACTCAAAGAAGAACAGTAGTAAGAAGTGTTCACAAAGTGGATATGCAGTTGGTGCCTTTATATCATTGCTGAGTAATACATAATAACACAAATAATGAATAACTATGTTAAGATGATCTACTTTGTTATATATAATATAAATACATTGTCCAATGTTAATATATGTTACTTTCATCAATGTCCCAAAAATAATTTTTTTAGGGGATTTTGTTTTTGTTTATTATATGATTTTGTTGTAATCCTTTACATCCTGGAGAATATATATGCTTTCATAACTGTGAAGATAGAATGAAATTGGTCAACAAATAAATCGGTCACAACTCGCAAAACTTGGTACTTTTAATTTTTTTTCGCCGATTTTCAACTATTTTCTTTGTCTCTTTAGGTTGTTTTGATGATAGGGACCATATTAGGGCTTTTTCACTTCTGTAAAGTATACCCTTAATATATCCCCTAAATTATTATAATTATCCCTATATATATTTTTTTTTTTTTGGGGGGGGGGGAGGGTATTTTTTCTTGACTTCATTTCAACACATTGACCTATAACTTTCACATATTTGAGTACGAATGCCAAACAGTGTTTATTAAAACAGAATTAAATTAACACATTAAAACTACCTGTATTCATTGTTGATAACTTCAATTTCAATTATCTCTGTAACCAGAGTTTCAACTTTGAGTGGCTTCTAAAATTCTACTTATTAACCGATTCTCACTATTTTGACATTGTGTGCTCGGCTGTCTGTTCTACAATCCCATCAGAATTGATTTTTCTTAAACTTTATACATTTGGAGATATAATTTTTTTTATTTAAATTTGCCACACATTTCAAATGCCCTATTGACAATTTTTTTTACAGTAAACTATACTGGAAACCTATATTCTAATTTGATGAAAATGAAGATCATATGCTATTCTGAGAGAATAACAGCATTTAAAGAACAATTAATAACAGTTCATATTTTTTATTCTGAATCGAAAATTTGAAGTTTTCAATATTCAAATTTAAAATTAATTTTGATTCTCTTGTTTTTCAAGTTATGCTGTGAACATTTTGACAAATTTGGAGCATTTGCCTAGTTGATTATGCAAAAAAAATTGGAAAGTGTTTGTGCAAGTTTCAAAAACTTCTGTTACATATATGATTTGACAAAAAATAATTTATGTATTGCACGGTCTAAGGGTTAATCTTGCTCCCAAGTTCACACTTTCTTGTGCTTCAAGTGAGAGTTTATGCCAGAGCTACTTTGAAAGTGATCTAACATATGTATAGCCACTTCTAGGTCCTTTCAAGAACTGGCAAACAGTCCCCTGTGGGAAAAAACCTGCTGGGATTGATATAAGAGGAGACTACCAGGGACTTGTACTGAACTAAATTAAAAATTTACTGTCTGCAAATTAATTCAACTAAAATCTCTAGCTAGGGTTGTAAATCCTACTGATCCTCTTTTCCTAATGACAAATCCTCTTTTCCTAATGACTGTGGGCTGTAAGGGACAGGTGGGGTGAATGACTATGTTGATAGAAGTTCCAATCCACCTGTAGACAGGGATCTCACATCAGCTTGTATTTTATACAAGGATAAGATTTGATAAATTCAGTTATCTGACTGAACACTGGCTCTGTTTAAATCAGGGATTTAAACATACATAGTCTAACCTAGTACCATAACTTAACAGCCAATATGTTCTTATACTATAAACAACAAATTAAATTGTAAAAGTATAATAAATGACCTTAAATGTAGTCTTAATACTATTAACTTAGTACTAGAAATTATATTCAATTAAATGAACTTATATGATAACTTAAAAATTAACTAAGCAAACAATTGATAACTTAATTTATATATTCAAATATATATGCAGACATATTCAGTTTATACAGTTAGCTTGACTGAATCTCTTCCAACTATGGACACTTGTGAGGTTTTTACTTATTGAGGCTGAATTCTTTTCTGACAGAATGGACACTCATGAGGTTCAGTGCTTGGATAAGATTCACAGCTACACTACAATTTTAATAAACTTACTGAAATGTGAGGCTTAGCCTCGCTTTTTAACCAACAGACAGATTTATAGGATATTAAAGCTACACAAGCATACAATTGGCCAATCATACACCAAATAACCTTCAATATACTTCTCTGCCAGTCGGGGTGCCTGTCTGACAAGTTTGCCAGACTGAT